AGGGGGAGCACATGAACCGCAGACTGATGTCGGGGAGGCCAGCATGTGACTGATCCAGACCCCTGAATGTGGATGTCAATGAGGAGGCCTCGGAACTCTATGGGGCCTCTGGTAGTAGATCAGTATTTATCCCTGGTGTAAGAAAGAACTTTGGGAGCCCATTCCACTCGGAGGGACTGGACACATAGGGGAGGGCTTAGGCCCTGCCCAGGATGATATGACAGACTTTGGGGATCCCCCATGGAGGGCCTTACCCTTCCTTGGGAGCAAAGGGGAATGGGATGGGGGGCTGGTGGAGGGTGGGAGAGGAGAGGAGGGAGAAGGGATTGACATGTGAAGCAGGCTTGTTTCTAATTTGAACTAGTAAAAAATAATTTCTTAAAAATTAAAAAAAGAAAAAGAAAGATCCACTTCCAATCTTTATCTTTAAAAGTGAGAAGACCCACCTCTAATCTGGGACATGCCTTCTGCCTATACCTTCTGGGGGAAGCCTATATAAGGACATGGAAGACAGAAGCTTTTTTTTTTTTTTTTTTTCAAGACAGGGTTTCATTGTGTAGTGTAGCCTTGGTCTTGGAGATGGCTCTGTAGATCAGGCTGGCCTTCAACTCAGAAACAACTGCTTCTGACACCTGAATGCTGGGATTAAAGGCATGCACCACCCCCGCCTGGCGGAAGCTTTTACTCTTTGCCTACTTGCTCTCTCTCCCTAGCAAGTCCCCTCCTTCACTGTCATTACAGTCTACTTCGTTTATAGCGCCACATATATACTTTTTTTTTTTTTTTGAGACAGGGTTTCTCTGTGTAGTCCTGGAACTCACTCTGTAAACCAGGCTGGCCTCCAACTCACAGAAATCCACCTGCCTCTGCCTTCCAGAGTTCTGGGATTAAAGGCATGCACCACCAGCGGCCTTATATTATTTTAAAAAAGAGAAACCCAATATACAAAATTAAACACATCTTGCTAAGTCCACACAGCTGTACAAAGCTATGCAAGCACGTGGCTGGGTCTTCAAATGTCTTCGGGTCCATTGACTGCCCAGTGAGGGTTCAAAACCTCACTTCAGCCGGGCGCTGGTGGTGCACGCCTTTAATCCTAGCACTCGGGAGGCAGAGGCAGGAGGATCTCTGAGTTCAAGACCAGCCTGGTCTCTAGAGCGAGTGTCAGGATAGGCTCCAAAGCTACACAGAGAAACCCTGTCTCGGAAAACCAAAAAAAAAAAAAAAAAAGAAGTCACTTCCCAGTTTCTCACTCAGGGCGACGCTTCCCGCCGCCACTACGAGGCGCCCGAACAAAGCCGCAGGTCAGAGCCTAAGCACTTCATTGCGTGACCCGCGTCGCACCCGGTGGGCGTCACGTGACAGACTCGGTTTTCCTCCAATCACTGTGCGAGTTGTGGGGATTCTATCTATTACTCGGTCTCGGGCTTACAACACCCTGCTCCCCCATTGCTAAAATGGGCCTGCCCCTTGCTACCAGCCACACAGCAGTAACTCAAGTGTTTTCCTCTCAAGCAGTTTCGAGGGGCTCCGGCCTTTAGCGCACTCAGTTCCGGAAGTGACGTTTCCCAGAGGGGCCGGAAGTGGCAGTGGAGGGAGGGAAGATGGCGGAGGTGGTGAGTCCGGTGCCCGGGGCGGGGCGGAGGGAGCCAGGGGAGGTGGGTAGAGCCCGAGGCCCCCCAGTAGCCGACCCTGGCGCCGCGCTGTCTCCCCAGGGGGAGATAATCGAGGGCTGCCGCCTGCCCGTGCTGCGGCGCAACCAGGACAACGAAGATGAGTGGCGTGAGTGACGTCGGGGGGCGGGTCCAAGGAACCTGAGGGCGAGGGGCGGGAGTCAACGAAAACACGGGAGGGGGAGGGGCTTCTGCGATCCTGGGGCAGTCGCAGATACTCGGAAGGAGGGGCGTGGCTTTGAACCGTACGGAGATGAGCCGGGAGGGGCTTGGAGAGAGGTGTCACTTGGTGACTAAAGAGGTCTTGAGCCAAACCTTCTAGGTGCTGGGGCATAGGAATTCAGCCTGGAGGTGGAGTCCAGGTCCAAGGGTGGAGTCTCATGACCTGGCTCGGCTAAGACCCCCTGTCTGTGTTCTTCCCGTAGCCCTGGCTGAGATCCTGAGCGTGAAGGACATCAGTGGCCGAAAGCTTTTCTATGTCCATTACATTGATTGTGAGTCCTGGGCCCGGGCTAAGTGGGGCTGCTGGATAGGGTTGAGGGCATCCTCTGGCATTCCCTCCTGAGCCATTTCCCCTGCTGCAGTCAACAAACGTCTGGATGAATGGGTGACTCACGAGAGGCTGGACTTAAAGAAGATACAGTTCCCCAAGAAAGAGGCTAAGACCCCTACCAAGAACGGACTTCCTGGGTCCCGCCCCGGCTCGCCTGAAAGAGAGGTGGTGAGTAGGTCCCCCATTTCACATTTTCTCTCCTGCCTCTTCCTTCTTGCATCTCTTGGCCTCGGGGGTTCCCAAATGAGCAGGAGGCAGTATTCTCATGCCATGACTTCAGCTTGCAAAGGATGGGGGCTAAAATCGCAGGTGTAGCTTCCAGAGTCCACTATTGCCTTGCTTTAGAGAAGGCAAAGGGTGGGATTTGATCACTCCATGTTGAGGGGACCATCTGCCCCTTTGCCATCCCACCACCATCCCCACCCCAGAGGAAGACTCTGGACCTATCTCTACAGCCGGCCTCCGCCCAGGCCAGCGGGAAGACTTTGCCAATCCCGGTCCAGATCACTCTCCGCTTCAACCTGCCCAAGGAGCGGGAGGCCATTCCCGGTGGCGAGCCCGACCAGCCGCTCTCCTCCAGCTCCTGCCTGCAACCCAACCACCGCTCAACGGTACCCTCAGCAATTCCAGGGACCTTGCTTTCTTCTCAGGTCCCACCTTCTCTACCTTCTGACCCACCTTTCTTGGTTTCTCTCTGCAGAAACGGAAGGTGGAAGTGGTTTCACCAGCAACTCCAGTGCCCAGCGAGTCAGCCCCAGCCTCAGTTTTCCCTCAGGTTAGTCTTCCAGTTTCTTTTTTTAAAGATTCCTATGAGTGTCTTATCTGCATTATGTATGTGTACCACTTGCATGCCAGAAAAGGATATTGGGTCCTTTGAAACTGGAGTTAGAGGTGGTTGATTGTAAGCTGCCATATGTGCTGGGAAAGGAACCCATGTCCTCTGCAAGAGCAGCCAGGGTTCTTAAACTACTGAGCCTCCTTGACCGTCCCTCCAGTCTTCTTCCCCTTCCTTCATCTTTCTTGCTGTCTAGTATCCTCCTTCAGGCTCATCTCAGTCACCCTTTCTTTCATCTTATCCACAGAATGGATCAGCCCGTAGGGCAGTGGCAGCACAACCAGGACGGAAGAGGAAATCTAATTGCCTGGGCACTGATGAGGTGGGTCTCAGGGAGCAGAGGAAGAAGAAAGATGGGCAAGGGGATGGACTTGAGCAAGGAGAGTTCATTCAGTGACTAATTTAAAAGCAAACAAGCCAGGCAGTAGTTGCACATGCCTTTAATCCTAGTACTTGGGAGGTAGAGGCAGGTGAATCTGAGTTCTAGAGCAGCCTGGTCTACAGAGTGAGTTCCAGGACAGCTAGAGCTACACAGAGAAATACTAGGGAGAGGGGGAGAGAGACAAAGAGAGCAAAAAGAAGTCTGCACTTGGGTGGAGTCATTTCTTTGGTCTTTGTTCTGTCTGTCTGGAGTAGATAGACAGATTCCCCAGGAAAGTCATGGGACAACAGGCTTTCCCATCCCACTGTCCTGCAGGCTCAAGAGAGGAACATGAGGTGGTAGGTACATTAGCTATTGGGTAATTTTTATCATAGTACCAGTTTCCTTTGGTTTATTTTGGAAAATGAGCATTATGATGCTTTCCCCTTAGTTGATATTAGACTTGAAGAAAGGAACCTGTGGCAGGGTTGTGAGCCATGTTCTGCTCAACTGTCTGCTGTAACCTACCATTTCTCTAGCCAGGAGGCAGAGGCAGGTGGATCTCTGTGAGTTTGATACTAGCCTGGTCTACAAGAGCTAGTTCCAGGACAGCCTCCAAAGCCACAGAGAAATCCTGTCTTGACCCCCCCCCCAAAAGAAGAATCTACCATTTCTCACTTGCCTTGGGCAGGACTCTCAGGACAGTTCAGATGGAATACCGTCAGCACCACGCATGACTGGCAGCTTGGTGTCTGACCGGAGTCACGACGACATTGTCACCCGGATGAAGAATATAGAGTGTATTGAGCTTGGCCGGCATCGCCTCAAGCCATGGTACTTCTCCCCGTACCCACAAGAGCTCACCACACTACCCGTCCTCTACCTGTGCGAATTTTGCCTCAAATATGGCCGTAGCCTCAAGTGTCTGCAGCGCCACTTGGTATGAAGGGTCTTGGGAGGCTGCCTACCCAGTATGTCCACACCAGTCCCTGCTGATTCTCCTTTTGTCCTTAGACCAAATGTGACCTTCGGCACCCTCCAGGCAATGAAATTTACCGCAAGGGCACCATCTCCTTTTTTGAGATTGATGGACGGAAAAACAAGGTCAGTGGCTGGGGCAGTGGGGCCCAAAACAAGTCATATGAACAACTTTTCCTGCTGATAATAATTGACCACTCTGGTTCAACCTGCGGGAATGCACAGAATACTAGGATTTAGACAAACTCTATTCTCTTAAGAGGCCATTTTCCGTGGCAGAAGCAGACATACCACAGCTATTCAGATCCCAGTGTGAGAAGTGTCGTGAAAAGAAGGATAAGTTAGCAGAGTTCAAAGGAAACTATCATCACAACTTTTAGGTAGTGTATGCCTGTTATCTTAGCATTCAGAAAGCTCCTGAGTTCAAGGTTAGCCTGGGCTATAAGGAGTTCTATGCCAACCTAAGCTATAAATTGAGAAAGACCTTCTTTAGAGGAATCCAAAACAAAGCAAAGAACAAAAACTTTATGGTGGCAAAGATCAAATGTAAAATTAAAGACAGTTTAAAAAACAGTTTAGCCCAGGGTGGTAATCCCAGTATCCAGGAGGCTGAAGCTGGTGTATTCAAAATTCAAAATTGTAAGACCCTTTGTCAAAAACAAACAGAAAGGATCTTGGATGGGTATGGTGGCAAATGCTTTAATTCCAGCACTTAGGAAGCAGAGGCAGGTGATCTCTACTAGTCTGTAGGGAGTTCTTCGCCAGCCAGGGGTAGACAGTCAAATCCTATTTTGAGAAAGTTTCCAGGTTGACCTGTGAGCCTGGACATGAAGGAGAAAACATGTTTAAGGCAATTCTAAGCAGTTGGGTTCAGTGATGCAGGGTACTGAGGTACCAGGACAGTATGTGTGAAAAGTAAAAGGAAGGTGAGAGGGGATGAAGCAAGACTTTTGAAGGTCAGAGGTCAGGTGGCAGGAACAAGATCACTGGAGAAGCATGTTTGGGTCTTAGAGATGAGAAGCATAGAGCTCCTTGAGATACACACATCTCTTGGGCCTCCAGGATGTGGGGAGAAGGCAGGTACCCTGATTGGGGGCGGCAGGAGCTCAAGAGAAAGACAAAGTTACACACTGCTCTGTATTATTTTTCCCCGAGACAAGGTTCCCCTGTGTATCCCTGGCTGTCTTATGTAGTTCAGGCTGTCCTCAAACTCCAGAGATCCAGCCTTTGCCTCCCAAGTGCTGGGATTAAAAGTGTTTACCACCACTGCTCAGCAACACTGCTCTATATTAAGTCCAAAGTTTTGCAGGAAGAACCACTAAGGCTGGCATTTTCTTAAACCATCACTGGAGAATAGCAGACCAGTTCCCAAGAGGCAAAATCACTGTGGCTAGAGCATTGGGGTTTTGGCACCCAAGGATAGCCACATGAGCAGAACTTCTGTCCTGAGACTGAATTTGAAGTTAATTCGACAGGGAAACTTTTTTAAAAATGGCAGAGGGGCACACACCTTTAGCCTTTAATCCCAGCACTCGGGAGGCAGAGGCAGACAGATCGCTGCATGTTTGAGGCCAGCCTGGTATACACAGTGAGCTCTAGGACATCCAGGGCTACACAGAGAAACCCTGTCTTGAAAAATAAAAAGGTCTCATTATGTAGCCCTAGCCTACTGACCTCAAACTTATAGCCTGCCTCTGCCTCCTAAGTGCTGAGATTATAAGCAGACACTACCATGCCTGGCTTGGAAATGTTCTTGGCTATTGTTAAAGCAGAACAGAGGACAGTACAGGTCCAGAGCAGGCTTTGCTGGGTATATGGGAAGCTGTGCAGCTCACCATGGGAGCAGGCACTTAGACACTAGTACACATGCTCCTGGACGCTTAAGAAGTAGCCCTTAGTCGAGCAGTCGTGGTGCACACCTTTAATCCTAGCACTTGGGAGGCAGAGGTAGAGGTAAGCTAATCTCTGAATTTGAGGCCAGCCTGGTCTACAGAGCAAGTTCCACACAGCCAGGACTACACAGAGAAACCCTGTCTCAGTAAAGGGTTTTTCTACCTAACCCCTACCTAACCAGTGGTGATGGCCTAACTGGTGGGGTTAGGGTCCTAGGAGGGAAGCCAATCTGTCAAGTGAAGTAGCAAAAACAAGTGCTCCTCAGAGCCCTTGAGATGGCTCAGTGGGTAGAAGCCCTGTCACACAAGCCTGGGCACCTGAGTTCACTCTGTGGAACCATAGTGGAAGGAGAGAATGCATGTGTGTGTAGTACATACATGCCTGCAATCACATATGTCAGCATAAAGTGTAACTCTTTATAGTAGTGCCCCCAGAGTAGTGATTGACAGGCTTTTTTCTTTACAGAGTTACTCACAAAACCTGTGTCTGCTGGCCAAGTGCTTCCTCGACCACAAGACATTGTACTATGACACAGACCCCTTCCTCTTCTATGTGATGACAGAGTATGACTGCAAGGGCTTCCACATTGTGGGCTACTTCTCCAAGGTCAGCATTCACCCAGGCTGTCCCTCGGCCCTGCCCTGAGTCAAGTCTAAGTTAAAACTCACCTACTCTGATTCCAGGAAAAGGAATCTACTGAAGATTACAATGTGGCCTGCATCCTGACTCTGCCTCCCTATCAGCGCAGAGGCTATGGCAAGCTGCTGATTGAGTTCAGTGAGTATGTGCTGCCTTACCAGAAGTCTGGGAGACTGACAGGGCCAAGCCTGTGTGAGTGTACTGTCATCTGTGCTTCACATGCAGACATGCCAGTTACCAGGAATAAAGAGATCACTCTCCCAAGGCCCTTTCCTCAAGCAACTGCCTATTTCCTCAAGTAGGCTCTCGGCACCCACTTCTTTTTGGCTAAAGGTTTAAGTGTCACCCAGCTTTTCCCAATTTGGAATCATCTGTTCCTGTGTGGAGCTCTGGGCAGCTCAGCTTCTCATGTTCATCTCTGGGTGTGCACTGTAACAGGTTCTGGATTATCACCAGGTGTTACCTGAGCCTTCCAGGCATTAATGTCCAAAGGCTGTTTAACCCACTGAAAGATGAACTTGTACCCGTTCCTTTGTCAGGCTAGTCTTTTAATGCCCAGGAGAACTTTGGCTCCTTCCTTCTCACATGGACTCTTTTTTTTTTTTTAATTTTTCAAGACCGGGTTTCTCTGTGTGGCTTTGTAGAGTGCCACCAACACCTGGCTCACATGGGCTCTTAACTCTGCAATACATTCTGTTTTGTAGTGTTAGCCCATCCATCCCCATTCCATTCACTTAAGTATTCACTGACCTAGGAATCGGGGAAGAAGCGTTAACTTTTTTTGCTGGTGAAACACAGATGCTTTACTTGTTCAAAGTCATGAACTGTTTGGAATATTTTATTAGTTGAGTGGTTCCAAGTTGGGAATCATATTCTCTGGAAACTCAGCCTGGGAGAGCAGGTGAAAGAAAACTCAGAGGACAGATCACTAAGATAACACTTCTGTCCAGCATGACACAGAAAAGCATTAGACAGATAAAAGGGCAGGGAGGCCATCAACAGATCAGAAACTCAGAACTGTCTTAGAGGGACTGTACACAAGTCGATCCAGGAGAGTTGGATCTCTTTTCTTTCTGGCTGCCTCTCTGGCCCATTTTGTCCAAAGGTGATTGAGCAAAGAGGGTGAGACTAGCCAACAGAGATGTAGCCAGGGACCATTTTGAAGACTGTGTAGCTGAGGGTAAGGAAGGGTTTCTCCAAACTAATAGGGACATCTCTGGGGCCCTATCTACAGGACTTAAAGGTCTCATGAACTGCCTGGCCGTGCCTAGTAGTCAACATAAATAAGAGAGAAAGGGCTATTACTTCGAGGTGAATTCTCTGGCTCTGAAGAAACACTTCTATACTTTTCTGTTACATCCTCAACCACCCTGCCCATCCTGGCACTAAGAACAGCTGATTCCCAGGATCACAGCTAGGGAATGACAAAGGGTTCCCTCACCATCCTCCCAATGTCCTCAGACACAGGCTAGGATGGCAAAGGAAAATCTAGCATTTCCATCTCATTAACTTTGACTAGCTGGCAAGTTCCCAGTCAAAGCTGCTTTTTTAGGTGTCTTCAGCTCCCCTAGCCACTTAGCAGGCAGGGAAGCTACTCATCCATTACCAAGAGAGACAGAAAACCAGGAAGCGTAACTTTGCAGTTTCTGCTCTTACTTATTGTTGTGTATACCTGTGATGCTTACTCAGACTCTTGTGCTCCACTGCTTTAGGCTATGAACTCTCTAAAGTAGAAGGGAAGACAGGGACACCTGAGAAGCCCCTGTCAGATCTTGGCCTCCTATCCTATCGAAGTTACTGGTCCCAGACCATCTTGGAGATCCTGATGGGACTGAAGTCAGAGAGCGGGGAGAGGCCACAGATTACCATCAAGTGAGCCAGAATGCCCACCTGGGGGTGTATGGTATGGCCTGTCTGTTCCTGGGGCTCCTGGGGACAGATGACTACTCTCAGAGAACCTAACTTTTGCCCTCCCACAGTGAGATCAGTGAAATCACTAGTATCAAGAAAGAAGATGTCATCTCCACACTGCAGTATCTCAATCTCATCAATTACTACAAGGTTAGGAGGCACACTGAGGGGTAGGTGAATGGGGTACAGATGACAGACCTGTGGGCTGACCACATGCTGGGTCTGTTTCTTCCCTAGGGCCAATATATCCTCACTCTGTCAGAGGACATCGTGGATGGGCATGAGCGGGCTATGCTCAAACGGCTCCTTCGAATTGACTCCAAGTGTCTGCACTTCACTCCCAAAGACTGGAGCAAGAGAGGAAAGTGGTGACCAGGCACTGCCCATTGCAACACAAAGAGAGCTGGCACAACTGGGGCTGACAGGCTATCCTACCCTTCCAAGAGGCACACCAAGGGAGACAGGGCTGAGGACAGCTCCAAAAGGAGAGGCCTAGGAGGGGCCAACTACTGGCCAGTACCAAGGCAAGCTCAGGGCTAAGCCAACTCCAAGGATAGATGGCTTATCATCGGCCCAGGTCTGCTCTGAACACAGGGACCAGAGGGATCCAGGCAGCTATATACATGGAGACGGGTGGGAGCACTCTGTACAGAGGACTGGTGATTATAAACATTTCTTTTGTAAAGGAGGAGCTGGAGGGTGGGGTGGGTGCTGGTTGCAAAATTCTGGCCCCTCTTGCCCCCAGCAATAAATTGTTTATATAGGCAGAGATATCAAAAGTTCTTGCCAGACTGGGTGTCCGTGCCATGCCGGCTTCAAGGGTGCTAAGGTGCCCACAGACTCACAGGTGTTGTGAAGAGCTCATTTATTGGGATAGAAACAGTGGCTTCAAAGTGAACTTATTGCTGGCTTACTGGTGTGAAGGGATCTGTGACTTTCATTTTCATGATGTGGCTCTCAGTCCTCAGGCACCTGTGCGTGAATCTGCAACAGGAGTCACTTCCACTATGTAACTTTCTAATAGGATTCAGTTGTGTGGGGACCCAGCTGCTTAGGGTGCTAGCCCCTTCTAAGGCCAGATGATAAAGTGAAGAGTGCCTCCCACCACTCTTTAATCTGGTCTTCCAGCGTCATGGTCCCCATCCACGGTGCTTACTGCCCTAAAAACCCCAAGTAACTAGGGACGATTCAAACCCGGTGGGAGGTCGGACGGAGTCTAGGAGGGAAAGGGCTCAAGTATGTACTCACCGCTGCAGCGAGGCTGGGCCAACCTAGGGCCTTGTGCACTTTGGCATCCGGGCCAGGGACCGTTTCCAGACCCCACAAAGTGAAGTGGCTAAAGCTGCCGGTAGCTCCCATAAAGCGGTCCTAGGAAAGGCTGGGTTCAGAATCGGGACGACAGTTACTATCCTCACCCCGAGCCTACCCTCTCCCTCTGCTCACGAAATCGCGCTCCAGCGGTTCCTGGGTCTCTTCCGTTTTGTCTTCCGCGTCCCCCGAGAAGTTCAGCTTCCCTATCAGTCCCTCTCCCATCTCCTCCGTCACCATCACGAATCCCGAAAAACCTGGCGGCACAGCCACCTCCTCGCCCCGCAAGCCGCGACCCCGAAACGATACCTGCAGCCCTGCGGGAGGTATACACAAAACCCATCAGGCAGGCGTGGTCCCCGGGTAATGCGCCGACAGCTTCTCCCGCGGACCATCGAGCCCGTGAGCGCTGAGACCTGCGCGGGGGCTGCCGGGACTCACCGTCTACACCGTGGCGCACCGCGGGCGTGAAGAAGCGTTCCACCGGAGCTGGCCGGCTCACCTGAACCTCGCAGGGCAGGAGGTGCAGCGTAGCCGGTGCGGCAGCACGCAGCGAGTCAGGGCGCAAGTGGACACGCTGCTTACTGTCCGCGGCTTCATCTGAGCTCTCCATCCCGGACGCTGGCGGGCTCAGGCAAAACCTGGCGGGTGAGGCGCGCGGAGCCTGTCGGGAGACCGAGCTCAATCGGTGCAGAGCCTTATGGGAATCGTAGTCCTTTCTCCGGGGGCCGCCCTCTGCAAGACACGCCTTCCTGTGATCTCATCTCCGTGCCTCCACTTCCCCGGTGCTCGGGTTTACTGGCTTGTGCCACCCTGCCCACCCCTAACATTTTTATGTCTCTTCTGCTTGTCTAAAAACTAAACGGATTCCTAGAAAGGTCCTATTTATTAGGTTGTTTGGTAAATTATTGACTTTTGATGGTGATGAGGATTGAACTCAGGGTCTTGGGCAAACTAAACGAATGCTCTAGAATCACAACTATGTAGGAAAAAGGGGTCACAGAAAGAACACCCTATCCCTGACTTGATTCCCAAGCCCAAGACCAGGGCCAAGGAAAGAACATCTTGCCCCTGCCTGGTCTCCTAGCCCAAGACTTAGAAATCCATCGTGACTTGAGGACAGGCAATGCTTCAAAGTTGGCAGCCAAGCAATACTTCTGGCTGCACGACTAGCTCACTGAATATGCTCCAAAAACCCTATAAAATCCCTTCCCTCCTCCCAACCCTCTGCTGTCTCTCTTCCTGTTCAGAAGCAGCTGCCATTCTGTGTTTCTCCCCAATAGATACCCTTCCATTGGTAAAACAAACAAACAGCTTTTAGACCCAGTCCAGGTTGTTTTTAAAATAAGGGACATCAATCCATTTCTCAAATGCATTTTTTTCTTGTGTGACTTGTCTTGCAGAGCTTTCTGTATGTATAGTAATTCTTGCTGTAAAGAAAAAAAAAATTTTGAGACAGGGTTTCTCTGCAAATCCCTGGCTGTCCTGGAACTCACTAGGCAGAGTAAGCTGGCCTTGAACCTAGAGATCCACCTGCCTCTGCCGCCCAAGTGCTGAAATTAAAGGAGCATGCTAAGGCTGCCCAGCAAAGAAAACCTTTATAGTCACTATAAGAGATCGGTATTGGCTCAAGACCCCAAGACCAAGTTCTCAGCACAAAGGAGATATCTTTGCCCTAGAGGGACAGAGGGCAGGGAATAAGAGACAAAGACAGGAGACAGAGGATGAGGATGAGGGAGAAGGGGAAGGGAGCAAGGGAGGGGAAGGAGGGGTATTTGTCCAGGAAGGACAAAAGACTGCCTCTGGATAGAGAGGAATCAGATGTTGCCCACACGCAACTAGCAGTTTATAAAGGTACAAAGGGGAAACCCTGTGTTAGGATGAGGTGTTTAAGTTTAATTGGGCATGTTAATGAGGGCAGCCAAAAGGGGCTTCTGATTGCTGGGTTTCAATACTTTGATAACTGGACCTTGGAAGTTAGCCTCAGAAGGAGGAGGTATCCAAATAAGGGCATAGACTGTGGGGCTCGCTTTAGGAATGTAATCTAATAGTTTTTTTTAGCAAAGTAGAGGGAATGGGGATGGGCAAAGCCTGCCAGAGCCACATCTACCATGCTGGAGTTGGCTAGAATCCCCTCAGTGACATTTTCTTTTGAATTTTAAATCAATCACTTATTTGGGGGAGGAGCGTGCCATGGAGCACCATGCTACCAGAGGACTACTTGTGGACTTGTTTCTCTCTCCACCATGCAGGTCCTGGATTCTCAAACTCAAATCAAGATGGGCACAAGCAACTTTACCTGGTGGACTATATTGTCAGCCTTCTGTAGTCAGATTTTCAACATTTTCTCATGCCTTTTGTTGTTGTTTTTTTTGTTTGTTTGTTTGTTTTGTTTTTCAAGACAGGGTTTCTCTATGTAGCTTTTGAGCCTTTCTTGTAGCTCACACTGTAGACCAGGCTGGCCAAGAATTCACATAGACCCACCTGCCACTGCCTCTGACTCCAGAGTGCTAGAATTAAAAGTGTGCACTACAGAGCAGCCTGGCGGGGGTGGCACACACCTTTAATCCCAGCATTTGGGAGAGAGAGACAGGCAGATCTCCGGGAATTTGAGGCCAGCTTGATCTACAGCACAAATTCCAGGATAGGCTTCAAGCTACAGAGAAACCCTGTCTCGAAACAAAATAAAACAAAAAGGTATGCACTAAATCGCCTGGCTGTTAAGCTCTTTCTAATGTTTATTGGTTCAGATACCCAACACTGATACATGTTATCAAGTTCTTCCACAAAACAAATAAATATAAAACTATAAATGTTAGTCAAATTGCATTAACTCATAGATGTGTTATATAATTTGTTATATAAATATGTAGTTTATTTATAGCATTGCCTGCGAACCAAATAGTCTATACAGATATTAATATTTGAATTTTAATTGCTTACCTAGATACCTGAAGAATAATGTTTGTTGTTCCTAGTAATTTTCATTTTCTTGGCTCTTCTTTTTCAAATCATAATGAGTTTGCTTTATTACATTTGTAATTTTCTTCTATAATGGCACTGCTGTTCAGTTGAAAATATATTCACCAAATATTAACACTAATAAGGTCACTTTCTGGTTTTGAGAACCAGAAACACAAATGGAACCACACCACAGTCATGTATGATCACTAGCAAAATATGAGCACTGTTTAAATTTCAAAATTAAACATCCTTTTCTTTCTAGTGTAGTGATCGCTGCATCTTTTTTTTTTTTTTTTCTTTTGGTTTTTCGAGACAGGGTTTCTCTGTGTAGCTTTGGAGCCTATCCTGGCACTCACTCTGGAGACCAGGCTGGCCTCAAACTCACAGAGATCCACCTGCCTCTGCCTCCCAAGTGCTGGGATTAAAGGCGTGTGCCACCAACGCCAGGCGGTTGCTGCATCTTTACTAATTAAAATATTCACCTCAAATCTAGTCTCTCTGCCTACTTAAGATTTGTTGAGACATTTTATCAGAGAGTCTAGAGAGAAGGCTCAGAGGTAGATGGTTAATTTAAAGACAGCCTTGCTTTAGTTTTTGTTCAAAAATAAAATAGGCAGGATGCGACCTATAAGCCTGTAATACCAGCACTAAGAGAGGTGGAGGCAGGAGGATCAAGAGTTAAAGGTTGGGGCAGTTCAGATGGCTCAACAGGCAAAGGTACCTTGCCACCCTGCTTAACAAACTGAGTTCAATTTCCAGGACTTGTTGGTAGAAAGAGAGAATGGGGGGGTAGAATATTATTTTCAACTATGTGACTTTCATTTATTCTGCATTTGTTTAACTCTTGAAGCTGTGTTACCATGCCTGTTTAAAACACCTGATGGTCCTAATAAAGAACTGAATGGCCAATATCGAGGCAGGAGCAAGGATAGGCGGGCTGGCAGGTACATAGTATAAATAGAAGGAAAAACAAAACAAAACAAAACAAAACAAAACAAAAACGAGGAGTAAGAAGAGAACAAAGGCAGGAGGAGAACCTCAGGGACAGCCATCCAGCTACACAGCAATCCATGGAGTAAGAAGAGTAAGATTTACAGAAGTAGGAGAACAGAAAATGCCCAGAGGCAAAGGTATGGAATAATTTAAGTTAAAGAAAAGCTGGCTAGCAACAAGCCAAGCTAAGGCCAGGCATTCATAAGTAATAGTAAGATTCTGTGTGTTATTTATTTAGGTGCTGGGTGGTGGGCCCCTCTAACAGGGCAAAAAGTAAAAAAGAGCAAAAACATTTAAAACAATGGTGGGGGGCGTTGGAGAGATGTCTCAGAGGGTGAGCACTTGGGCTGGTCTTCCAGAGGTCCTGAGTTCAGTTCCCAGCAGCAACAGAGTGGCTCATAAACATCTGTAGTGCCCTCTTCTGGCCTGAAGTGCAGGCATACATGCAGACAGAACACTATATACAATAGAAATAAATAAATCTTAAAAAGAGAAAGAGAATCAAATCCCAAAGGTCATTCTGTGACTTTCACACACCTATGCTGCCTAAACACACACACAGAAACAAGAATTGAAAGTCTTCTTCAGCTTATAGTAAGTTTGAGGATAGCCTAGGCTACATGAGTCCCTGTGTCAAAATAAAAGAATAAGTCATCCCATTTGTTTCCATGTCTGTTTTATGTCTATTTGTATAGTGGTCAGGTTTTCCTCATAAGTTCTATATTACATATAATGATATATATTTGTTTCTATGTAATTTATATTCATTTCTATTATAATTGGTTTTTCTATTGTATTTTCTAATTTGTCCTTAGTTGTACCGAGGATTGACACACTTTTCTGTGTAAGTAAATCTTTTAGCTTTAATGAACTATAGTTGCTATAACAACTACTCAGCCTTGTGGTTCCAGTATAAAAAGCAGCCACAGATGAGGCTGAAGAATGACTTCTGCTGGGTGCTGAGTCATTCAGCACACTTCACCCTATGCATCCCTTCCACTTAGTTATCTGTATCTCTTGAGATATATATTTGGGTTTTTCGAGGACAGAGTTTCTCTGTGGCTTTGAAGGCTGTCCTGGAACTGTTCACAACTACCCATAACTCCAGGAGATCTGAAGCCCTCAAATGGACTCTAAGGGTACTACATTCATGTCCACATCCCCATACATAGATACACAAATATACACATAATTAAAAATAAAAATAAGCCACGTGGTGGTGGCACACGCCTTTAATCCCAGCATTCAGAAGGCAGAGGGAGGCAGATCTCTGTGAGTTCGACGCCAGCTTCATCTACAGAGCAAATTCCAAGCTTCAAAGCTACACAGAGGAACTCTGACTTGGAAAACCAATTAATTAATTAAAGGCCTGTGTAGTGGCATATGCCTTTTATCCCAGCACTCAGAAGGCAGAGGCAGGTGGATCTTTGTGAGCTTGATCTGATCTACCTAGAATTCCAGGATAGCTGGGCTTAGGTATTGAGACCCTGTCTCAAAAATATAAAAGCAATTAAATAAAAATAAAATATTAAACAAACAAAAAAGACAGTCACAGACAATATATAAATGAGTGAGTATAGCTGTGTTCTAGTAAAACAGTATTTGCAGAGGCAGGCAGTGGGCTAGATGGGCCCTACAGTTATAATTTTCAGATCCTTCCTCTAGAGTAGAGCTGTCAGTTGTTAATATATTAATCTTCCCTGGGGACCTACCAAATTCTTTTGTTGCGCTTGATATTTTCAGTTAGTCTTTTTTGTGTTCTCCAGAATTAGTCTTCTCATTTTCAAGTAATAATTTTGCCTTTCATTACTTTTTTTTTTTAAAGATTTTATTTATTATGTATATAGTCTTCTGCCTGCATGCCAGCAGAGGGCACCAGATCTCATTCAAGGTGGTTGTGAGCCACCATGTGGTTGCCGGGAATTGAACTCAGGACCTCTGGAAGAAAAGTTGGTGCTCTTAACCGCTGAGCCATCTCTCCAGCCCCCATTTTTTTGTTTTTTCAAGACAGGGTTTCTCTGTAGCTTTGGAGTCTGTCCTGGCACTCGCTTTGTAGACCAGGCCGGCCTCAAACTCACAGAGATCTGCCTGCCTCTGCCTCCCAAGTGCTAGGATTAAAGGTGAGAAGTATCACCACTAGGCCACAAGACATATATGTATCTCTCCACAGCTCTTTCTCTCTTGGCCTCTTTGCGTCCTGAGTGCTGGCATTAAAGGCATGTGTCACCATGCCCTGCATAAGATTACTTTTTAATTAATTGCAGATTTGTAAGTCAGCTTATTAAGTATTCAGGAAATATAATGAGGCTGTGAAAATTCTGTCTGATACTTCTGCAATATAATTTGCTATATTATAATTCACTATTCAGAGTAAGAAATTTTCAGGAAAAAGGACATTTCACTATATGAACTGGGGTGGGAGACACCAGCACACAGACAATGGCCATCTATAGTCTTCCAGTCTATAAAGTACATGGCCTGGTGAGTATATTTGTGAGCTTAACAAAAACATTTAGGGTATAGAGTACACCAACTCTCTGAAGTCTCTTCCCGATGTTAAAAGCCAGGGAACCACTTTTCTACTCATCTGTCATATCGTACCTCATACCAAAACCAAATAAGGACACTACTTAAAAACACCACAGAACAGTATCTGACATGTACATAGATGTAGAAATCCATGGTAAAATTTGGCAAAATAGGAGATATGGCCATAACTTGGTAATAAAGCCCTAGCCAAGCATGTGTAAGACACTGGATTTGAACTGCATGTATGGCAAATGCCTTTTGGTAATGACAGCACTTGAGAGGATGAGGTAAGAGAATATGGATTCAAGGGAAGTCTGTATCTCATAAAAACCAACCAAACTCCCAGCACCACACACACAGTTAACAAATGGAGTCTAACAGCGCATACACAAAAATAATTATATGACATGATGAAGTAGGATTTATTTCAGGTGTGGCAGACTGGCTTAACTTAAAAAAAAAACTCAATGGTCAGTGGTGGTGCACATCTTTAATCTCAGAGCTTCAGGACACAGAGGCAGTTGGATCTCTGAGCTCCAGGCCAGCCTGCTCTAGAGTGATTTCCAGGACAGCCAAGGCTACACAGAGAAACCCTGTCTCAAAGATAAAGATATATATATATATATATACACAAAAACCCCTTTTTCAGCTAACTGGAGGACGGCACATCCCAGGAGGACATGGAAGCCTCACTGCCCACCACACTCTTCACCCTATGCATCCCTTCCACTTAGTTATCTGTATCTCTTGAGATATATATTTGGGTTTTTCGAGGACAGAGTTTCTCTGTGGCTTTGGAGGCTGTCCTGAAAATAGCTCTTGTTGACCAGGCTGGTCCGGAACTCACAGAGATCTTCCTCCCTCTGCCTCCCGAGTGCTGGGATTAAAGGAGTGCACCACCAACGCCCGGCTCCATAATATATTTTTAAAAATTTAAATTATATAAGCGTGTGTGTCTCTACATAGGAATGTATGCATGTGTGCTGGTACCTGTGGAGGCCAGACAAGAGCACAGGGTCCCCCTGGAGGTGGAGTCACAGGTGGACATGGATGCTGGCACCTGAACTCTCTAGTCACCTGTAATATACTTTTGCTTGTTAAGACAGTCCACTATGAAGCTACTACCTGGCTTTGAACTTGAAGCCTCAGGCTCTGGGCTGTTAGGATTACAGGCATTCACCACTAGACCTGGCAATGTAATATCTTTTATAATAAGCAGGCAAAGGTTGAGTGTCCCTTAGAAATTACCAAACCTTGCCAGGCACTAGTGGTGCAGGTCTTTAATCCCAGAACTTGGGAGGCAAAGGCAGGTGGATCTCTGTGAGTTTGAGGCTAGCCTGGTTTACAGAGTTCCAGGTCGGGTTCCAAAGCTACACAGAGAAACCCTGCCTCAAAAAACAAACAAACAAACAAACAAAAAAACAGAAAAAAAATTACCAAACTCGAGAAGTGGTTATGGAAACCCTGACTAGCATGTTGGTTAGAATCACAGGCCACAGCGTGGGATTTGTTATTGGTATCTGAACTGTGACACAGAATATGTAACTTGTTTTTGTGGGTGGAGTTGTTTGTCTGGTGTCCAGTACTGAAGGGGTGAGTGAACAAAACAGAAGTCCATGGATGGATAGGAAGATGGGCATAAGATAGAGGCTTCATCATTCCATGGGCTAATGTGTGTGTGCATGTGTCTGTGGGCCTGTGTGAGTGGGTGTGTGTGCACATGTCTGTAGTAGGCCAGAGGTGGACAGTGTGTGTTTGATTGCAATTCACCTTACTGAAGCAGGGCCTCTCAATGAACTTGGGGTTTGCTGACTCAGCTATACTGCTTACTAAAAAGCTCCAGCTCGGACAATAGTGGTGCACACCTTTAACCCCAGCACTCAGAAGGCAGAGGCAGGTGGATCTCTGTGAGTTCGAGGCCAGCCTGGTCTACAGAGTGAGTGTCAGGACAGTTACGACTACACAGAGAAACCCTATCTCAGGGGGGGAAAAGCCTGGAGACCTCTCATCTGCCCCCTAGCTCTGTGATGACAGCACAAGCCCTCACCTGGTTTTACATGGGTGCTGGACTCTAACTCAGGTCCTCCAGTTTGTGCATTTTACTGAGTCATCTCCCCAGCTTCCTGACCTATTATCTTTAGCTCAGGCTTAAGGCACTTCTTGCATTTGTATGAAAAGAACTGCTTTTTCAGGTCCCTTAACTACTATGATGAGAACTGGATCACACTACTGAGATGGTCTCTGAGTTAGACATGGAGGCATCTCTCTGGCTCTCTCTGGCTTAGTGGGTATGAGGAGGCAGTGGCAGCACCCACTCCCCATGCCTGATCACCAAGAGGAACTTGACTGCAGACGGGGGAGTTTGTCCTGGAACATAATAGCATGAGCGGTGGATTCTATGGAAATACTTCTCTAGCTTTCCTAACAATTGTGTAAGGAACTGACCTCCATCCTTTCTCTACTCAAACCAGTTGGAGAAGTTTCTAGAATGGCCACCTTCCTGATTTGGCAATGGCTTCCAAGGTGAGCCCTAGGTAACTGCTTCTTCCTCATTGAAATATTTCTTCAGGCTCAGGAGACTCAGGAAATATGACGATCTGGAAGCTCAGAAAGTTACAGGATCAGTGAAGCTATCCCTCATGCTATAAAGGTAGTCAACAGTTGCTGTGCAGAGCCTCAGGTGGAGCTGTCTGCAAGACCTGTAAAGAGCTCCAGCCAGGCAGTTTTCTGGAGCTGGCACCCATGCCGGAGTGGCCTTTTTTGGTGATACGCCTGTCGTTGAGTCACCCATACTTCCTTAAGTAACTCCAATCCTCTCATTGGCTCATTAGCTAGAATTGAATGGAATTCTTCTTTGGTCAGTTGTAGATGCCCTATCTGGGATGAAAAGTTACTCAACAGTAACAATTCACTGCTACAACTTGCACTTGAACCTGGCCTTTTGCCAAAAATGGCCCAAGCCTTCTTTCCTAGACTAGGAAACCAGAGCAGGGGCAACACACACACTCTGTCTCTCACATACACAAGCGCGCGCACACACACACACTCACACACACACACTCACACGTGCACATACACAAACTCCCCCCTCCCTACACCCCTTTCCCCTCAACAACTCAGGTCGTTCTTCCACTCAGTGCTGACTGCTGCTTCAGCACATCCTACTGGTGGCTTTCCAGGGCTGAAGACTGTGACTCCCACAGATCTCTGCTGTGTGTGGCAATGGTGGCCTGCCACGGGATAACAAAATACTACTCCCTCCCAGCCAAGTGACCTAAGGAAGGTCACTTAACTCCTTCAGCTGGAAATTTCCTCAGCTGTGGGGGGAGACCTGTAGAGTTGTAGCAAGGATGACACAAGGCAATGTGTGAAACCGTATTGGCTTTGACATCTCTACATCCTCAGTGTCTTGCACATTTGGAGAAAGACACTGGAGAACAAGTTTTCATCTGAGAAAGTCCTTATGTACAGACTGAGATTCCTGGGGGCTGCCATTAAATGCTAGGCTTCTTAAAAACCAGATCATGTGCTCCCCCCCCCATCTGCTCAGAACCTCTCTCTACAATTGATTCCAACCAGGACTGCCCAGGAAGGGACTATCTAGTCACCAAGCCTTCTCTCCAAAGTCCAGGCTGCTATGTAGATGAGCCCAGCTGGGGCAGAGTGAGGAGGCCCAACTTCAAGCTCCAGCCTTCACAGGAAGTCACAGAGTGATTTTGGGCTAGGCCAGACCTCATAGGAAACATATTGTTGAGACTATCTGAGCAGGGATTGTGGAGTTTGCAGGACCAGCACTGGTCTGGATCTTTTTAGGGTCTTAAGAGTCAACCCCAGTAAGTCTGCTCCTAATAAGGGTTCAAAAGTAAACAAGCCAGTGAGAGCCATCAGTGAGTGTGATTTTATGGGGTAGGGCCTACAAAAATATGTTCCTTTGACAGTCCCTTGGACCAGCCCCCAAGAGCAACAAGTCCTGTCCCACCTGGTGTTAGTGGGCTGCAAGGCTACGGAGGTAGTCCCCAACCAGGGGCAGCACGGCCCAGTTGTCAGTCCTTAGGGCCACAGGCACACCATCCACCTGAGCTTTCTCCAGTCGCAGCAGCAGCATGGAGTCAGGGGGCAGTTGGACAGCTATGAGGTAGGTGGTGGGGGGCTGAGCCACTACAACAAAGGGCTCTAGGTGTTGGGACACCAAGGCCTCCAGGCCCTGTGGCCCAAGTGGACACCACATACGACTTTCTACACCCTTTGGCAGGCAGGAGTTCCAGAGATCATCAAAGAAACACAGCTCGGAGCCCTTGGGGAGCTGGGGGAAAGGCAGGAAGAGGTCAGCAAACTTCACAGACAAGGGATGCAGGTGTGCATGGCATGTGAGGCCAGCAGGTGTGGTATAAAGGGCCTCAACATGTAGGCGAGCAGGGGCTGGGCGTCGGGGCTGCAAGGTCAGGCACAGAGGATGGGCAGGCTGCCCTGGACACAAGCAGGGTATGTGGACAGCCTCCAAAGGCCCATAGAGCTGTCCTGCCACACGGAAGCGCAGCTCCAGAGAGTAGACAGGAGCCTCCAGTGCCTCCACCTGCAGATGCAGCACCGGGAGTGTGCCTTTGGCCTTCTGAGGCCCCACACTCAACTGAATTGGAGCTGGAGTCTCTTGCACCATCAGTGTTGATGCAAAGCCCTGGTTCTCAGCCACCAGTGACGAGGCCAGTGCAGGTACAGCAAGTGAGGGGCCCAGGGCCATGCCCAACTTGGAACTTGACAGATGGGAAAAGAGGATATAGTAGAGTCGGGCATGGTCCCGCCCGTCAGCATCCTCTAGCTGTCTGGCCAGTACTTGCAGCAAGTCTGCCAGGCCATCTCCCCCACCTGTCCGCAGCAGAGCGCGGCATACCCGCAGTAGGGCCTGCTGTAGGCCCCAGTCAGTGCAGTGTATGGCTGCAGCCTGTAGAAAGCTGAGGGTGGCTCTCTGGGCATCTCCCTCTGCAACCTTTGCCAGCATTCGAAGGTGCCAGCAAAGCGATTCGTTCTTGCCTGGCCTGGCTACCACCTCTTGCTGCAGCACCACCCTGAGGGGCTCTCTCAGCTCGGGGCTTACCTGATCTAAGAGGTCTACAAAATGAGGAGCTAGGGAAGGCCGAGCTCGGTATAGTTGGGCCAGTCCATGGACCAAAGATGTGCGCACTGTAGGTTGCCCAGCCAGGCAGCTGGCAACGAGGTATGAGGCCTGGAAACAGAGAGTGGCCAAGGCCTGGGGACCACCATCTAGGGCTGCCCTCTGCTGTAGTCCAGCCAGCAGCTCCTGTAGGTACCACCGTGGGCTGTGAACATGGCCTTTCTCCTCTTCCTCAGCATCAGCACAGAGCAGGCAGAGCAGATGCAGGCGGGCCAAGAGGACCATTGGATCATGCAGGAGACTGGGCATGAGGCCCCGGCTTAGCTGGGGACCCAACAGCAGGGGGGCAGCCTCTTCCCCTTCCAGACCTAGGGGACAATTCTCTGGGAAGCTCAGGATGCAGTTCAGGTAAAAGAGGTGTGTGGGTGAGGGCAAGGCTGGGTGTTGGGCCACCAAGGTGAGCCTGCGGAGCAGCAAAGCTTCATCCTGAGCAGTGAACAGGGCCTCACCAAAGGCCGCCTTGAGAGCCAGGACTGAGTGCAACAGCGTCAGCTGTGCTGTGCCCAGCAGCCGAACTAGCTGTGGCTTGAAAACCACTGGTGGCTGTCCCCGAAGACCCCGAAGGGCCCAGCCCAACAGCCACAGAAGCTGAGCCTGAGCCACAGACGTGAGCAGGTAGGAGGTATCCAGAAGCTGGGCCACTGCAGCCTTCAGCTCTCGGGCCTCCTCAGGGCTGGGCTTTAGCAATGGAAAGCCATGCTCCTCCCCAGTTGTGGGCCAGCTGGGTGCCTGGGGCTGAAGATGGGCATCCCACTCTTCAGCTAGTGTCCAGTCCCAGGGACAACTCCCAGAGGAGGAGACTCCAGCCACAAGCAGGCCTTGCAGGCCAGCCCCGATCTCAGCCCCAGGCCTGGATGGTACCACCAAGGTGTTGTGCAGAACAAGGGCCAGCAGCAGGCTGACAGGCTGGATGGGACCCGTTTGCCCTAGGAGGCTTCGCAGTATCCCCAGGGAGCCAGCCAGCAGCCCAGGCTTACAGCGCTCAAGTTCTCCAAGGCATTCACACGCTGTGGCCTGTAGGTGGCGCTGTTCTGAGAGGGTCCCAAAGCTCCGTCCCATGTCTCGGCCCGAAGCTAGACCAAGCAGAAGGGGCAGGAGTCGGCAGGAAGCTCCGGAAGTGGGTCCCAGAGCACCTCCTGACACCAGGGCTGTGGTGGCTGCCAACAGCAGGAGCCTCCGGAGAGCTGAAGGTTTTGAGGGCAGGAGGACAAGGGTGTCCAACAAGGAGGTGGCAGCAGCTTCCGCAGCAGGTGCATCAGACCACAGTTTGTCAGAGTACTCCAAGCTCAGTGTCAGTAAGGAAACCTGAGATGAGGGGTTTAAGAGGGACTCATGAAGATGAAGTTCAGCATGCACTAGTACGGAGCAACCATGTGGAGCACAGCAGGGCACACGGGCACGACCTACCTTGGTCTGCTCGCTTAGCTTTTCACTCCTTAGGTCACTCAGCAGGTCGCGACCCAAATCCTCACCTTCGGCACCGGCCAGGAAGGCGGATGGGCTGGCTCGGAAAGCCCCCAGGCGCTGGGCCCAGGCTTCACGACTCAGGGGCCCCATGCTCAGTCACCCACTGAATTCTCTGCAGAGGGAAGGAGCATCAGGCCCTCGGGCGCAGACACGGAGGCGAGCACGCGCAAGACCTTCACGGCCGCCAGAGGGCGCCCGGGTCCTCCCCCCCGCCCCTGGTCCCCGAGGTGGGGGGGGGCTGCTGTCACCCTAGGGGTCGTCTTGCAGACCCCAACAGAGACCCCCATGCCCAAGTTCCCGAGCTGAAATCGGGAGGCTTCGGGGACGAGGCGGGGAGCCGCGGCGGCTCCCGCCCCTGCGGGACGGGAGCCGCCGCGATGAGGGTGGGGGCGCTCGGGAGGTGCGTGTCGAGAGCTCATTAGGCTGCCCGCCTACGAAGAGCACCGAAACCACAGCGTCGCCCGGGCCCCTGGCGCCCGTGGTACCGGGCCGGCCTCTCTCACCGCTTGAGTCAGCTGCCGCAGGCGCTCGGTCGGCGCCTTCCGGGCTGGCAGGCTGGCGGCGCGGGCCGGGGCGGGGCGCGCGGCGCGTGGGCGGCCGGGACCGGGCGAGCCCAGAGGCGGGGCGGAACGGAGCCTCCGCCTGCCACGCCCGCCAGGCCGGCAGGTGCCGACTCGCCGGTTTCGCCGGGGCTGAGTAACTGTCTCGCTTCGCAGGCCCCCTGCCCCGAAACCGCCGCAGGCACGGGCAGGGGCGGGGCTTGGTGGGCCGAGCCGAGCTCTCGTCCCGCTCCCGGATGGGGGTGCGTTCCCAAGCCCTCGAGGAGCGCCACAGCGGTCTGGGCAGATCGGGAAGGCCGCCAGCGCGTCCCCTGGCCGCCCGGCACGGCCCGGCTGGTCGAGTACGGGTCTTTGGGCGGCCGCTGGGGGGCGCGCGGGACGCGCTCCCAGGGCAGAGCAGGAAGAGCCAGGCGCCGGTCACGGTGGGACCGGTCCGACCGGCGCCGCAGGGCTTGGCTTGGCGTCCTCAACGCTGACCGGGCGGAGGGGGGCGGGGGAGGGGACACCCCGCTCTGCTTGGAGGCGAGGAGCCGGCGCCAGGGTCGCAGCCGCATGGTAGCCGCTGACCTTTGTCCGAAGCCACACCGGTTGCGAATAAGGGTCGGGCAGGCTAGAGTACAGCCGGCGGGGCCGGCCTGACGCCGCAGCGAAGACGAAAAACAACGGGATCCTGACTTTGGATGTGCGCGTTGGTGGGGCCTGGAGGGCCACTCAGCTCGTAGCACGTCTGACGAGGGCCGAGAAACCAAGACTTGAGTAGAGAGACCGGGCTGCAAGAAACCTAGGGTCAAGTAGCGTACCCCTTACTGGAGTCCGGAGGGCTGGATCCAGGCTTGTGGCTCAGGAACTCCAGGCTGTGGATACCCATTGGCCGCTAGTTTCCAGGGCACAGAACTATTGGTGTCCAAATCTCGCCGCCCAGCGTCCTCAAGCCTTCTGCTTGCCTCTATGAAGATGAAACACCTGAGCCCCCATTGCTAGCCTTTGGCTACTTGCCCAAGCCCCTCCCTCCCCATTCTGAACCGCTGCAGATAAGAGTAGTGAGGTAGATTAAAGGAGGGGTGCACGAGTCTCCAGAACAAGGATAGGACAGAGGGGACCGAGATGGGGGGGTGGGAGGAGGGACTGGTCCAGCTTCAAGACTTGGTCAGGCCTCCTTTGGGCTCTGGCTCCACAGCTGACTCACAGGCGACAGCTCTAAACCACTTCCCTCTATGTGCCTCAGTTTCCCCATCTATAAATTGGGAGTGATGACTCCTGTCCAAGGAGCTTTGGGGTGAGGCGCCTGGCTAATTAGGCCTAAGATGAAAGAGGCCAGGATGAGAGCAGCCCTGGGCTTGGAAGGCAGGTTGGAGTAGGAGCCTGTCTGGTTTCCCTGTCTGAGGCCCAGAGGGCGCTGATAACTACAGGTCCTGTCTCCCAGCTCTCCAGGAGCCAGCCAGGATTATTAAATCCTGTTACAGTTGAGGAGAGAGGCTTCAGGGGTCAGGGAGTCCAACTCTGGCTGGGTCCCAAGCTTCTGATGCTGTAGCCTCTGCCAACATCCAGTCTCTCTGGGCTTGGGTTCTTTGAGGTGGCATGTGTGGTTTACAGTACTGTGATGGAGATATATTCCTGAACTCCCCAGGGCTCATGGCAGCCCTGGGTCCCCAGGGTGGATGCTTGTCATGCATGAACTTTCACAGGAGCCCAGAAAAGGAGAAAGGGTTAGTCTGTGGTACAAAGCCCCAGAACCTCTTGTAAGTAGAATTGAACTTCTGACACGTGCCTTGTCTGCCATCCTCAGGCCTCTGGATGTCTAAGTTCCCAAATGGGCCCTGTTCTCATCTGCCTGCCCAAATGTCCTCTATGAGAGATGATGTTTGCTTTTTCCTGAAAACAGACTGGGCATAAGAGAGGTGTCCTTAGCTCACTATCAGGCCCTCCTGAGAGAGCGGCATGTCTGGTGTAAGGAGACAGGAGTTCCCATTTGTTGCCCTCACCTCTTCCCTCCTCTGCATTTCTGTCCTTCCCGGTGCAGGAGAGTTATGGGGAAAACCTAGATATTCCACTGGAAAAAGGAAAAGTTAATCCCTGAGTGGCCCTGGGCCTTTATTTTATTTTGGTTTTTTGAGACAAGGTTTCTCTGTGTAGCTTTGGAGCCTATCTTGGCACTTGCTCTGGAGACCAGGCTGGCCTTG